GTAGTGCCGAGAGTGAACGTACGCGCGGAGAGCACAGACGGCTCGCGCATGGCGAGTGTGAATGTCCGCGCGGGAGAGCGTAACTGATCAGGCGAAAATCCTCGACGTGTTGTTGAGGAATCCTCGACCGATATTCACCCTGCTTGGCAGTGCTGTGATCATCGTAACTGCTGTACCGTAACTGCTAGCCGATTGGTAAACACTGTCTTGCTTCTTTCGCACTCAGGGTCAACCGTGCGTTGCGCAGATTTCAAATTTTATGACCCCCTCCCTTTCGGAGGGTATCAGTACGACCCTCTGTATCAGCTATTGTGTCATTTTTGCCCATCATCGATGTATGGGCGTCACCGACATGGAGAGGTGGTGGACCGTGGTCAATCCGCGCTTTGTCTCGCTCAGAGGAGGGAATCGAGGCAACATGAAGTTTTATTCATTAAATAGAAGGAATTTCCAAATTTTTGCGTAAACCAATACATGGTAATAATCGCAGAGATTTCTACTTTCAGAAACCTACCAAGTTTTTTTCGAACTCAAATCTCCTTTTTTTATAAACTGAATAACTGAACCTTGCAGCAATTACGTTACAATACAAACCTCTTCATTTGAAAAGTGATACCTTTTTTCAATGACGGTCTCGTGAAATGGAATCTAAATGGCAATTCGAGAAATGGTCCCGTTGTTCCGTTTTTTTTTCTTAATGGGTTTTAGGTCCATTCTCTTGAACGCGAGTTTTCAACCTTAAATGGCCATAAGTTTCTTCAAAGTCGGTACATTGAGAAGCGGTAAAGACCATTGAAATCAACAAGATCAGTACTATATAGCATATGCTAGATTATCTTGAAAGGAAAACCTTTCTCCTGCCATAGGTTTCTATTAGTACTCCAGAGGTCAATCAGCCGAATTCGCTGCACTTTCCTCCACTTTGATTTGTTCTAAAAGCATGGGAGTTTCTCTGGAAGAATTTTTCGCTTGTGCTCACTGGAACATGACGTATTTTAGTAAGAAATCTCGCTCTGGGATGCGCCATTCAATCGTCTGTGGTGCGTAGTCGCAGTGGCAGTTGAAAGTCTGTCCTCCTTTGCCACTTAGCCACGCCTTGGCAGCTTCTAATTTTGTGAATGGTACTTGGTACGACGACCCCCCTCCTTTTCGTTTTGGCCGAGCACGAACCCCCTCGCTGTTAGTTCTTTTGCGCAATTCGGGGCTGATACTTCTGCTCACACGCTCGTGTTGCACCAGCTCTCTATCCCTGATTTCTCGCACATTTGAACACAAGTCATGTGACTTCCAGCTTTCCTTGTATGCCTGGAAGGACTTGTGAGAATACACAAGTCTTCCAGCATACAAGGAAAAGCATACTTCACTCACTCCTGCCCAGCTCTTGAAGGCAGTGATTACGATAAGGTGGAAGCGCATCAGGGAACTTGCTGACCACCGAATCAGTCACTCTGCTTGGTCAGAGAAAGAGTGTAGCGCTTTCCGCCGAACGAAAGCTGCGTTCCGCTTGCTGAGGGCAGGAGAAGTTATTCCGCCCCAAAAAGCGATCCGCCCACTAGTTCACTTGCGTTATTTTGGACGAGCTTCTCATTGCCAACAGCGGCGCAACTGAAGCAACTCAACTGGAGCATGGATTGGCATGTTGTCGTCCAAGGCGTTGCAGTGAATTTGTTCACGTCCGCTTGAGCTGTGCCTGTCTCATTCGTAGTGGATACCAGCGAACCAACACAAGGGGGAGGGGGCCGGTCTTGCTCTCTCAGATTTCCTCGCGCTTTCGCGTCGACCAACGAACCACCTACCACCTCCACGACCCCTTAGACCATTTTTGAATCTTTCGTAATCGCTGCCTTAAATTAATAGGTTTTACACAAGTGTATTCAAGAAGCGCTAAAATCACCAAATGTATGCCATCTTTTGACCATTTACTTAAGGTTTTACAAAACGACGTTCCACCAGACATACAACACGAACTCGCGAGTTCTTTACGAGCAACAAGTACGCTCTTCACCGCATCTCATGAAATTACTCGTCAGAATGTTTTACTATGATTACTTACTGTTCGGATTTCCACTGCCTGAAATTGAGTAGTTCTTTTCGTTTTGTTTTGTTGTTACGATTCGATAATAATGAATAAATTTCTAATAGAATACTGCAGCTGCCACTGGAGAAAGTCTCGACAGGCTGGTCTTGATTGGACTAGGAACCAGCTTGCGTCACTGGGACTCCTCGGTACCGAGCCATGAAGTTTTGTGTGAAACTCCGTCCACTTAGAGCGCATGACCTCCTTTCCTTCGCCAACCCCTATTCACCGATTCTCGGTCTCCGCGGCCTTTGGAATGAGTTATAACTTTGGTAGCAAACTCCGCCCAATTTGGTGCACGCCCCACCCACAACCCACCAATGCAGTTTCAAGTTTCCGCTCGGGGATCTATGGTTCCTTCCCGAAGAGTGGAACGCTTGCCGGCTAGGCGTTGTCTCGCATATTATTACCTAATCTGTGGTCGGAATATTGATCCACGGTGCCAAATGAAAGGCTCAGCTATCGAGGGGCAGCGCTGCCTAATTCCACTATGCACCTATGTCGAGGGTATCGAAGAGATTACTTTGTAACAAAGAAATTTGGATTAGGCGTGGATAACTAGCTCTTCTGTAGAAGCAGATCAGCAAATTTTTCCAAGCGTTATAAACTCAACACAAGCCATTTTCACCCATTGAATTGTTATGATTCCAGTGAAGAACTCTCCTATGAGCTGGAAAGCGAGAGTGATGGGCCGTCACATTTGCGGAGCACTTAGCCAGGGTGTTATGATTGTGATCAGCATCGAGGGGACTTTGAAGAGTGAAGCATCTTCACTACTCGACTTCAGCACCACATACTCACGTATGACATTGCCGGGCGCTCATGTCCTTAGCGGAACATTCAAAACAAGGCATTCAAAAACCGTTAGTGACACTAAGACTAAGCCCAGGAGAGGGGAGAATTGCCGGAGAACAAAGGTGGCTCATGTAGTCCCTAAATTCATTCCCTCTCTGAGGTTTTGTCATTCGCTACAACGGCTCACTCGCTTGCTTTCCGTCTTAATGGTTAGTGGACGCACCTGCCGAAGCTTCGCTGAGCTCAATTTTTCTTTATCAAAAGAGCCTCGCTTCGACGAACAACCGCTCGTATTGTAGAGTCCGAGGGGCCAAGCTCAAACTTGCGCGGTGCTCGGGCTCTGAGCAACGCCCCGCGAAATACTGTTGTTTCACAAAATACAACCTCCCGTGTTTGGCACTCAGCGCAAATACCATAAAATCCCATTACATTTTTGAATCGACAACCCTCGACAGATTTTCCTCGATCTCCACTACCGCACAACTGCGCATGCGGAACTCCTTGATCTTAACCTCCCCTTCAAAAAAGCGAGAAAGTGTCGGGTGCAGACCAAACACCACAACTGACGACGGCCTCCAAGTAAATCTGGTTAGAAGTTGTTCATAGTGATAGCTGATTTCTGGTAAATGATAGTTGTAATTAGTGACAATCGATAGAATACAACTGCAACAGGCTAATCATTTCATTGGCAGAAAACATTAACATTTTGTGAAGGCCGTCGTCACTTGTGGTGCATGGTCTGCACCCGACACTTTCTCGCTTTTTGAAGGGAGGGTATATCGATGCCATCCGTCCAAAAAAAGCGTTCGGCTGAAACGAGGCAAAAAGTCAGGGCATATGAACATTGTGGAGAGTGCAAACGGTGCTGAACCAGGGACAACTCTTTCAACATCACCACAAACACATATAGCATAGCATATAGCGCGCGCCGCGCTGCATTCAAAAAACCGCGCGTGGGTGAATAACTCAATCCATAACACCGTTTACCTGCAATCGGGCTGTCTTACTCATAGAAACGATTTCTCAGGATGGTTTCCTAGCTTCCACCGTAGGCGCGTTCGCGATGGGGCGCGCACTGCCACATGTTATCGATTTGTTTTCGTCGTTTTCTCTGCGCCCTCCACGACGAGAGCCATGACGAGAATGTGTCATGCTGCGGAGGCCACCCGCTGTAGAAGCGTAGTAGCGGCAAGATCGCGTTCTGCCGCCTTCCGGTGCGCCTCGGATTGGGGCCCTCCTTCTCTGTGAGGCGCCAAGGACGCGTGCAGCTGTCCGCCTAGTCGCGCAAGTGGGCCAGGCGGACGCTTTGCGCGGCAAAGCGGGCGCCGCAGGGTTTTTGGAAGGGCTGTCTCCGGGTGGTCGAAGCTTAGACCCCGATCGAAGGACCAGCCCGCCCCCCCCGACTCCCCGCCCCCCGCCGCCCCCCTCCTTCGGTACACATGCGTCGGTCCGATAGCGCGCCCCAGTGCTCAACAGCGCGAACCAGTGCAACGTGGTTACGGTGGAAGTTAAGAAACCATACTGATAAATCGTTCCTGTGTCTTACTCAAGTTGGCTCTGGATGGAAGTTCGCTACTTGATGTTGCAACTCAATCTGTCGTATCTCAACATTTACTTACTTTACTTTGAAAGAGAATAATATTCACATTATAGTCAACAGAATATCTAGCAGTATGAACTCAACAATGATAGAATATCCAAGACATGATAAAACTTTCATGGTCTTAACGAACATAGAATAAGATATTAACAACGATAAAACATTAGCAATCAACAACACTATCCTGGAGTCAAAACAATGGTAACAAATCAGTTCAACAATAAAGAAATAATTGGAACAATAGAAAATGCTCATAAAACTCTCCCCTTCTTTTTCATCAACTGCAGTTTACGCTTTTTCTTCTCATCGATTCTTTTTTGGAGATTTTCTTTCCGCTTTTCTTGCCTCTGAAATAAGTTCAATGAGAGACAAGGTAAGGCATGCAATGATGTAAATACGTCCAGTAAACTATTTTAGGTACTATACGACTATTAGGTTATCGGAAAAGTCTTTGGCAATCCACATCTGCATTCTGCGGAATTTTGGAGATGTTTTGAAACATTCACCCCAAGACATATGGGAAGAATGGTCCATCACACCATTCCGTCCTAGCGTTTCGCAGCGCTTATGATTGAAAAAATCGTCCTTGAATGACAAGATGCTCGACTGCTCTTGCTTTATGAACACAGGAAGATAGTCAATGCAAAAACGAAGCTGCAAAAAGCCTATGTGATGGGATGAGGCTCGAGACGGTCCTTAACGACATGGCAAATGGTTGCCTATGTCCAAAAAATTCCAGAAGAAATCACTAATCTGGTCGGCCTATTCAACTGAACGACATGGGTCTTTTGAGTGCTTTAGAAGTGTCCTCGGGACAGTTCACGAGGACCAACAGAGCTTTTCCAAAGTCATTGCAGTACAACTACTACACCAAATACCCCAGGACGTAAATTTACAGCCAATTTGGTGATAATAAGTGTTGCACAAGTTGGCCGAAATCAAACAAAACCGTCAACGCCGAACATTCACGTGCTTCATGTGCTTCATTCGGGCATCGAATCATCAGCGAATTTTCCACAAAACTAGAATTGCTTAGATATTCTGTTTGTGACATTTTGTCCCTTTCATTTTCCTCAAATTACTCTTTTACCACCTGGACAAACTATCCAAATCTAACAAGATGATGGACTTATGAAGAGTCATACCTTTGCCTCGTCCCTTTCAACGTGGGACTTTCGATTCGCCCAGTTTTCTTTCCGTTTTTCCTTCATTTTCTCTTTACGTTTCAAACCTTTCTGGAGCAGTTCCATATTGTCCTAAAATGAAGAGTATTGCAACAATGCAAAGATTCAAGCGGGGGAATTCAAAAAACTTCGCAAGAATAAAACTAGGAAAGAATCGGAAGCAGTAATTCCTTGAGAAACCCTGATGAACGTATTACATCCAGCAGATTGGCAAAGAAAAAATTAAAACGAAACTCAAAAAGAAATGGAATATCTTTATTACCTTCACTTTAATCCCCTGTGCTCTGCTCAAAGCGCGTTTCCATTTGATATCGTGCTCGAGTTCAGCAGCTTTTTCAGGCTCCTTCTGTTTGAGTTTCTCGAGCTTTTCTTCTCTCTTTTCGACCTTTAATAGAAAATAAAAAGAAAAGTTAAAACAAGAATGGAGTCATGGCTTAAGCAGTTTGCCCCACGCAGTTATCGAAACTCGATCTCTCGCACTTTTCCCGCTTTTGTATAGGGAGATGAGGGTAGACAGCACTCAACAAAATATGGCAGGTGAGCAGGGTAGGTGAATGAGCAGAGTATACGCTCATTTTCCTTGCCGTTTTTATGGTAGCGCCTACATCTCGCCAATGGTCAGCTGTCGACCTAGCTGTTCTGCTAAACGACCAAAAAACAATCATGTAGCATATTGAGGAACCAGTTGTTTGCCCGACAAGCAAGGTTCATTAAGATAGTGATAGCCAGTTGTGGGTTTACCATACACGCTATGCCATACACCATGGTTAAACGTACCTTATTAATGAGTGATTTGTAATCCTTTCCCACGAACTTCTGCTTCTTCTCTGAAGTGCTCAGCTGAAATAAATGGTATAAAAGAATAACACACTCAGGGACAAAAAAAATCATAGTTCAGTGGGTTCAAAAATATCCAAGTATTACGAATGAAAAGCAAAGGAATAATGACAAATGCAAGAATATTCAATATTTCTTACCCTCTTTTTCTTCTTCTCATTTTTGACAAGGAAATCGAATTTGGAAAATGATACCGCTACGTCTTCTTCTTTCGGCGGCGCCTTTTTCATTTTCGCTTCTGGTCTGAATCACTAGAACTACCGAAAAAAAAACTCGAAAAAAAAAGAGAACTGAACGTAGAAAATCAGAAGACCCACCCGCCCTCGGATCCAGCGGTGTTCGTTTGTTTCTGTTCAGATCTCCTCTGCTTCATCTTCATTTTACTCATGCGTCGCTTCAGCTTTCTTTCTTGCTCAAACTTCAGCGCCGTCGACACATCAACACCCGCCTTCTTTTTACCACAGCGAGTATCTGAAACATCGATTTCAACATTTCGTTAAGGAACCCTCGACCTGCACTCTATGATTTTTTTTTCAAAAACCTTCAAATTCATGTGAACTATAGGTTGTTCACGCAATGCAGTTCGATTATCAAAGCAAGCCTATACTGAAATCTTCGCGTACCTTTCATGGCTTTCAGCTTTTCCTGTAATTTTCGAATTGCCTGTTCACGCTGCTCCATAATATCTGGTGCATGATCCTTTGTTTCACATGGTACCGGCTTCTGCAAATTGGGTGTCTCATCGAATCTTCGATGGTTTGGAGCTCGTGATATTCCCTTCATAATTATTAAAACCGTAATTAACGAACCACGTCAAATTTAGGTTTTTTCGCCTCCACCTCAGTAGACTTAACAGCGGGTCTCTTCTTCGATTTCACAACGGGTACGCTTTCGACCTCCTCGTCGGTGCTGTCGTCGTCAGAAGAGATTACTTCCCTGAGCTTTACAGTAGAAAACACCAAATACAGAACCGAGTTTTTAGAAGAACGAATTAGATCACTATCATTAACACTAAATTAGCACAGCACTTCGTAACTTACTTAGACGTTGATTCCTTTTCTGCGACAGCACTTTCTTCTGCGGCCACTTTTTCACCAGCTTTGATTTCTGGCTTTGACTCCACCTGTGCCAAATTCATAATAGAAGAAGAAATATAGGCAAACAATGCGACAAAAAAAAGGCTTTTAGTTGTACAATGTCAAACGAAATGCCATGAAAGATAAGGAAAATATGACACCTTTTCCTTCTTTCCCTTCACCGTCTTTTGATTTTCCTTATTGTCCGAGTTCGCTTGAGTTGGTCGAACGGTTGGCTGATTTGGCTGGAACAAATAAGAGGAACAACTCATTTATCAGCAACAGAAGAGGGTTTGATCCTCACCTTTTTCAATTTTATGTCCTTCCCACTAGCAGATAGCAGATCGATCACCTCAGACACGCGATGACAAACTCCACCTGCCGTTCGCGCTACTTGTTGCTTCTTGCTCTTTGTTAGCTTCTGTTTTTCATCTATTGAATGGAACAATCAATGGTCATTATGTTAAACGAGAGCGGTTCAAAGGGATAAAGGAACACCTACTTGCTGTGAGTTGTTTATTCACTAATGTATGCTTCCTTTGGCGTAGCTTTTCATGAACTTCGGCTGTGAAACCCCAAAGCGAGATCGGGATCAAGTCACTAATATCTCTCACCTAAAATGCATACTATTGAAAGAACAGCAGTTAAATAATTAGAAAACCTAATCCACAGACCTTTCCTTCTATGGACGCAATCTTTGTCAATAGAGCCGTGTCTGGCGACAGTTCCTCCGCAGTCATACTGCAACTTTACAGCGTCACGATTAAAACTGGGCAAAACAAAGGTCAAATAACTCTGACATAAGCACCTTTGAAAAGAGATCGTATCTTGGTATATCACCCGAAAAAGTCAACAGCGAAGCAACTGATAAATTCAATTTTTTTGAACGCAAAATAGTTAAACATTTGAAATTCCTAATCCTACGCCTAGAAATGAGGATAACACATATTATTACGACCGATAGCATGACACCAACATGAATGACGAGAATTTCTGAAGCTGCGCTCAAGTCCTTACTTCAAAGCATAGCACGAACAGAAGGATGAACAAAAAATTCCAGAATAAATGAAAGAAGAAATCTACCTGAACATCTTAATCAAACTCCTTGGGTCTGCGGCGTATGAACATCACATTGCTATCAAATCTAATAATAATACAGCACAAACGTCATACCAAACCATAGAGGTATCGCGACGCCGCTGCGTTGCTCCATACACGCGTGGCACCCGGTTGCTGCGACCTAACACGTCTTATTCACCGGTTGGCCGAAATCATGAGTTCCACCTCAATATCGGCGACACTAATTAAAGTTACAAAGTAGAGCAAATTGGTAAAACCTACAACATCTTCTAGCCACTACAGTGAACATATACAAATGTGTCATGGTCACGTCCGATTGAACAAAATGATCATGAAGGAACAATTCACAGTATGTGAGATCACTGGCACACTAATCAAAAATAAAAGCTGACTAAGAAAACAGTAAAGACTGGAAATGAGCCAAGACGTCCTACCTCTAAAATATCTCCTACACATAAAACAACGATGAGAAACAAACTATATTAGTATTTGCTACAAACCTATATTCTACCATGATCAAACGTGGTGGAAGCTCATGCTGGTATGAGCTCAGTGGCCAGCCGCGTTCGAACGGCATCCGTTCGATTTTCCAGGATGATCCACACATCTTCGGCCAACTCTTCTAATGTTGTGTAACGGACTCGCTTCGTGTTGAAGATATCGATGGCGAACTGTGTTACTTGCTCCTAGAAGTTTGCAAAATACTAAGCAGTAAACATAAGAAAAATTTTGCCTGATTCAGCGGACCGCTTTGAATAAGCACAGCAAAAAACGCTTGAACATTTGACCCCGTGCGAAAGTGTACTTCGGAACTTTCTAACCTCAACATTAGCCTTTGATCATCCAATAATTTCATTACTCCTAATGAAATATTGTTTTTCGGATGGATTAGATTACGCAGTTGGATATTTATGGACCCAAAAAGTTCAAGCAAAACGAGCCTCCTCTGTGGTAAAATCCACCATCGACGGGCCATGCGGTCGCTGCTAGTCAAATTCATTACAAGGAAACGTGAAATTTCCGCGCTGAACACAAAACTGGGAAAGTGCCGTACCTTGAAATACTGGCATATCTCGCCAATACGCGAATCCGTGCCAAGGAACCCAAGGGTAATCGCTGGCGATACTGCTTCAGACACATCATATATATGCGCTATGAAACCGTTTTGGTCCTGAAATGGAGAAAATGCAAAGCAAAAGGAAAAGAGACTGACGACGAAAAACAAATTCTCTCGCATACCTTTAATCGCTGGCGCTTTGCCTTCAACATAGACCAGATTATAGTGCTGAGAGTCGAGTATTTCAATGAGTTGGATAGGAAAATATTTTTCGTCACTGAAACAAACGATGGTGAGACTCTGAATATATTATTTATTTCATTTTTAATTATTTCTTCCAAAAAACATACTTTGTAAATGCATACTGGTCTATATCGGCTTTCATAGGACACAACTGTGCACGTCTCAACAGATATACTGTGGAACTATACTCATTCCCAATAGTTTGTGAAACGATAACAAATCCCGAGCCCGCACAGGTGTGAGGGACGCACGTCCCGAGATTAAGTCTCCACTCCGCTCATCTTAGCTAAGAGAGAACATTACCCTCTAGAAATAAAGCAAGGGATCTGCGCTTCACTAGCGGCTCGCCATACTGCCACTATTTTCGTTAATAATGAACCCTCACCAGCGATCGGACTTTTCCAGCGTGCAGATGTTAGCAGCACAAGCAACTCGCTATCTCTGCTTTAGCTGACATCTGAGCCTACTACATCTGCGCTGAATCGGACGTAGTTATAAAAGTGGAAATCACCTACAATAGCGGATGAGAGTGATATTCCAGTGAAAGGTAAGGGAGACAGGAATTAAATTCCCGAAAAACAAATACGACTAAGGATCGCGTTCATCCAAGTTCACTCCCCACCAATAAGTGAACTGTCTACTAAAATATTTAGAAAAACGTTGAAAAAGAAAAGCTGGAGAAAGAAAATTGTAATAATGGAAGTTGGAATACAATAAGTACAAAGATCTTCAGAGGAAGAACTTACCTGAGTAGACTGCTGAGGGAGGTGATTTGATATCATCAAATGAGTCGAGCAGTATAAAGTCGAGCACAACGTCCCAGAATCCGAAATCAACCACCTGAATCAAGTCAGCTTCCATTTTCCGGAATTTATAGTGTCTGTGACGACTCATCAAGATTACAGAATTCACACGGATCTGTGTTCATTTTCTGTAACAAAGCGGTGTTGTACACACTGACCCTATGGCCGATGTCGCTAGCGAATCGCTGGATTCGCAAACTCTGACATGTCAGAGTGTCACGATGTTAAAGTTTGCGAATCCAGCGATTCGCTAGCGACATCGGCCTATACGCTAGAAAGGGATCGAGAGGCAAGTGGTTCCGTCGTTCAAACCGTCATTGGTATATTCAAAAAATGGGGTTGTCGCAGAGCAACACCCTCGAGCTGCAAGAGAAGAGAAAGTCACTTTTTGCGCCCGTGAAGCACACCCAAAACAACATACATGGCACCAAGTAACGATAAACATGAAAATGCTTACCCCTCGTCCAGCTAACTCTTCCTCCATTTGAATGACATTTGCTTCACTTCGGAAAAAATCGATCAAAGCATCGAAAGCAATGTAAAACTGTGACGGATCCTGTGAATTCACATCAATGAAAAACACTAACTTCTGGAGAGGGAGAACTTGGAAACAAACCTGCTTCGAGTGCTTGAGTATATCTCCCAACAGAGTTCGTCCGGCTTTCGCTAACCACATCCTTCTATGCTCATCATTCAAACACGTCTGTAAGCACGAAAAGTGAATGACAAATTACATACTTTCTGAGTCTTAGCACATTGACGACGTCGTTCAGTGCGCGCATACTTATCTTTTCGTTAGAATTTTTCACCAGTAGTGACTACTTCACCAATAATTTCATTTCTGCAAATGATAATGCATATGGATCACTATGGAAGGTGGAAATAGAGGCACAAATTAATCAGAACAAGCCTCCCCCTAGCGGAAGTGCGGGACATATGTATCCTGCGCTGTCGTCAATGTGTTAAATGGTCCAAAACGTACTGCAAATGCTTGACGGAGACACCAAAGTTTTGCCGCGAAATCAAGCTCGCTCTCGCACTGACATATGTCACCTCTCATTTTCCTATAGCCCACCTGAAGAAGCGGTTCATTAGTTGCATAAAAGCCAGTAAATAAAAAAAAAGATCAATTCGTACTTCTCCACTGCTTGCTGCCTGCAGCCCATTTTTGTAAAAAATCAACTGGTCTTCCGGTACTGCAACGTAGTCGCGAAGATCATCATCCAGTGTTACAGGCTGAATTCAATAGTAGAATTTTTACCTTGGAAAATGAAACTTTTCACTCACAAACTCCTCGTAGGCTGACATGAACGAATCATCCGACAAAACTGATAACGTTCCTGCACGAGGGGCACTGTAGACTGTTGTCCAGCCACCCATTTGAGGAATAACACTGCCAACTAAAACATTCAGAATGAATCAAAAAAGAGGGGTACCCGACAGGAGGCCCGTCGCGCGGCAAGAAGGCAGAGTCAGCGGACGAGTCGCAGCGCGTGATGTGCGATGTAGGACGTGCAATGGTACATTCTATTTAACTTGACGCGAAATCACTACAGTACGCGATGCGACCGCTGACTCTGCCTTCTTGACGCGCGGGCCTCCTGTCGGGTTCCCAACAAAGAGAATATGGGACAGTCAGAAAACATAAGCACTAACAGTCGTCCTTGAATTCCTCGAGAGCTCCATCTGCGACAAGTCGCGATACGTCTGTTTCGAGGATTCGTAGACGGTCAGCTATGGAACTGATTTCTCCAAATCTATCAGGATGCTTTTCACTTTTAGCACGATAGGCTTCGATAACGGCAAGCGCTCGCTCCAATGACCGTACTAACTCTTGACCCGCGTCCACAGCTGCAAAAATATGAAAGAATATTTTTGAAATTGATCATTTCTATTAGCAAAACACTATAGAAATAGAAAATGAACCCGGCTGTATCGCAAGGTACGAGGGCATCCTTCAAGACTAAGTCTCAGATGAGACTAGGAGGATGCAGGAAGTTCGGGGCAAATGAAAATTGCTCAAGCACCCTGGAGACTCTCTCTTAAGGCCTAGTTCCCGTTCATAAAAAAAGATGTATTTGAAGCGGTTTGAAATGCGTTGTCGCGGCAATGCCCCGTATCTTGCGATAGCGCCGTGAACCATTCAGGGAAATTAATGAAGATACCATCTTCACACAACAAACAAGGGGCTCAAAAGCTTGCTTATTCACGTGGGGATAAAATTTCACTTTGAAATGATGTTTTCCACAACATATAGGACACTTTGCAAATTAAGCTGAGCGTTTTCCTAACTGCACTGGACCTTTTTTCAATCAAACTAGCCTCTTTTCGAAGTTAACAGGATACATTTTTGAAACGTCAAAATATTGTATTTCTCGATAGAAAATGTCTAGTAATGTTGAAATTCTCGAGGAAACTCAGCTGTAGAACCCCCTAACTAAGGCCATTGACAGACACTTAAACCGGCTTCAGGGAACATCCATGAGCAAGAAAGGAAACGTCACTTCTGCAGAGCGATGACAGCGCAAAGGAGATGAGCGCCGACTTCGCGCAAAATGCAGACAGGAAAGCAAGGAAGGTACTTCCGTCCAATGTCGCCTGGTAGCTGCAACGAAATGAAGCTAACTTGAACGTGTTCTTTACCCTAACTCACCCCCTACCCTCACCCGCCCGCTTCCTCAGACCCTGAGAGAACTCAGTCAAAGCTACCTTCAAAAGTTCACAAACTACTTCATGTGCACAAACTCGGGTAGAACCTAGCCAAAGATGCGATTGCAAAGGATAGTTTTTATTATAAGGTGTGCTGCACAGAAAAAAAATAAGGGCTTAATATAAAGTGGGTGTGACGTAATGGGACAGACCAATGAGGCCGAACACTACCCCTCAAGATTCACTGAAAAAAAATTGACAGGCGGTCTACTGATTAAAGGGACACGTTGAAAAAAGCGTTTTCAGAAGGGTTCTGCGAACAACAAGAGAAAAGCAAGCCTTACGAGATTCCTAGGAGTTTTCGTGATCCCACCGGACAAATTTTAAAGGAAGTAGGTCGAAGTCGAGGTCCGACTACTAGGCTTGACCCCAAATCCTTCTCCTCATCCAGCAGTTCTCAGCTCATGATCCATCCTGACACATGTGAGGGAATGAACAATCTACAACGAATTTTGGGACTTGCCTGCGATAGGGAATGCGTCCAAACTGGTACTGAAATGATTTCTTTGTCGAGAGCCCCCTTGTCGTCCACTTCCACGATCACTGAGCGAAGGAGTACATCGTAGTCGTGAAGAAGCACGCACTGAAATACGACTAAATGTTATCAAAACTATTAAGCAGGATAGTAGGATTGGGATTCTATAAACCACTTTCTGTTCTGTCATATCGTTGAAAGCTGTCGCACGGTGCATCCTGGAAACCAGCGTCATTCGATCTCGATGAATTCTTTGCAGCTGAACGCTTTTCAGCACGCAACCACCTCAAAATCTGCTTTTCCTTTATCACACTTGTATAGGGCTTTATTGTGTAAGGATGGAACACCAGAGTGGAATCGAACTCAGACTTTACCTTCGAATCAGAATTCCAAAAAGAACGATCCCAATACCAACACCAGTCACGATAACTGTTTTCGTTCGGCCTGTGAGTCTTATGCTTGCTGGAGGACCAGCCGAAGGAAGCATCCACTGAAAGCAAAAACTTGAGCTAAATGAAGTCACATCCTACGTTTACAATATCCTTGAAGTGGGAGTCATACATGAAACATTGTTTGCGGCGGGAATCTACTGAAGAAAGAAAGAACAACCATAACGCTCGATAAGGCTCCACTGGGCCTGACTCATGGCATTATAAGAGACAAGGGCACAGAAGAGAGTGCGTGCCAGGATGAGATACTGAAACGACGAAGGCATGAGATATGATGGAAATGAGGGAGACGCAGGAGTGAACGGTATTGTCAGCAGAAGCGAGACAACCGCCTGCTCTAGTGACCGTGCTCCCTCCCCCTTCACTATCTCAGCTTATCCATTAAGCTAATCGGAGAACGTGCCTTCGAAACCAGTTGAAGGATTCATTGGGCAATTATCATGAATAGGCAAAATACCACCGCCTCTCCGATTCCGAAAATGAACTTCATTTCGGCGCCAGCTTGGCGCCAATATTGTGCCCAGTTGCGCCAAAATGGCTGATAACATGATTGTGATTAGGGCGCTGCATAACCATACGTAAGTTTACAGCGAGTTTAGTGAAAACAAATGTTGCATCAAAGACGCAAAATAGCAGCAACTGACGCTAGCTCCAAAAATAAACGTCACACTCGACATAAGAGCGCCAAATTAATCCCATAGGCAAAAGATTTTATGAAGATTTTCTCAAGACTCAAGGAAAGTATAATCTTAACCGTTTCACTGCAATGCGTCCAGTGCGTAGATAAGGCCCTGATTCGAATTTCGATTTGGCCATCAAAATGGCATTCATCCAACTGATAAGCTAATAGAATTGAAATGTCTCAGGGCAAAAATCGTGAAATTCATTAAAATAGAGATTACGACCCAAACATCCTTTTGGGATTAGGAAATACAACTGTAGACTTGACATTTCTATGACTGGCAAGCCCCTAGTGAGTCAAAAATGACCCTCAAAAACGGATGAAGTGAGAAAAGTTCAACTAATCGGATGAAGAGCGCCTTGCCAAGGAGAATGTGAGGATTTTCGGCAACTCTCGACAGCAAAATGAAATTCAAAAAAGTGGCAAGTCTCGTAAATCCTCACCTGACGCAATTCTACGAACGTAA